TAGAAACTATTCCCACTTCAGCAAGACTATTTGCTATTGCTTTCTGAACAGCAGAACAGCCAAACCAGCAGGGGGTTAAAAATTTTATATTTAGCATAAAAACATCTAGCTGAAAAATGCCTTTGAGTGCTGCAGTGGAATCTGATTTTGATTTGACCGAGTTTTGACCCTCAGAAAATTCCACGCGTAAGCACAATACATTCTGTATCGGTGTATTTGCTGGGCTGAGAGCATGCATGGAGGAGGAAGGCAAGGTTATATGTGTATGTGCGGTTAGCTTACATCCTTATCCTAGCACAGTGTCTTTAAGGTCTTCAGTTATGCACTGAGCTTGGTGGTGCTTCTCACACAACGGTGGCTGAATGTGTGCACTTAGTGCTTGCAGTCTTAGAGCCCTTGTGTGTCTTGAGGAATGTCCTAAATGCCTAATGAGGTTAAAGAGACCTGCTGAGCATTTTGGGTTGGTCCAATGCCCTCTGCCTTATTGTCCAGGGTAAGAATCAGGTCCAGCAAGAGTACCTAGGGTCAGACACAGCTCAGTTATCAATGGGTAGGACCATGGTGATGAGGCAAGTCCAAGGTCAAGCTGGGGAGTCAGTCTGCAGGTCAGAGTCCAGATCGAATGAGTCCATGGCCATGGAAAGGGGAAGGCTGTGGCAGAGCTGGAGACCAGCACTCTTACAGTGTTGGAGGGGGAGGGACTAATGGGCCGGGGCTGGGCTGAAAAGGGGGAACTGTGCAGGGGATATTTGTGGGTGCCCCAGGTGAAGCAGGTCAGACCATTAAGGTCTATTAGTGCTCTAAGGGCCCTGACAAGGCTTTCCAGAGAGCCTGGGGAATCTTCATGTCAGGAGGTGTTCAAAAGTTGACTGGAGAAGGCCCAGGTCAACCTTATCTGTCTTTGAAAATGGCCCTGCTTTGAGCAGGGAGTTGGAATACAGACCTCCAACCTTCCCTGCCTAGGTTATTCTGTCATTCTACAAAGCCTGCTGGTTTATCTTCTGTATTAGCAGTGCATGCAGGATATCCTGTCACTATGAATGTTACTCACTCAGACTCTAAACTGTGTGTGATGGAAAACCAAATAGGTAGCGTACACTAGAGGTGATGTACAGCCTTATAGAGCAACCGGACCGAATGCTGCAAACTCTTAAGCACACGCTTCACATTCTACCATAAGCAGTCAGTGGAGGCCCTCAGAAAAATAGAGTTAAGCATATGTGCAAGTGTTTAGAGGACCATCACATCAGGGAATATTTGCTGGCATTTAGAGTCCATTCATGCTCAAAGGGAAGTCAACCAGCTCTCTAGTCTACTGCCTCAGGCCCTGATCTGCCCTAAAGAAAGTCTGCGTAGCACACAGTGCACTGTGGCCTTGACTCAGCAGAGCAATTTGGGATATGTGGCTTGCTGAATCAGAGCTTATGCGTCTAGCTGAAATTGCTTTGTAGGGCACAGTCTGGTTCCCACTGAAATACTTGTGAGGCTTTTGGCACGGACTTCAATGAAAACATGATCAAATCTGTGTTCACCTGGTCATCCCTTGAGCTGAGGATAAAAAATTACCGCTCTGGTGGTTAAATGAGAATGGGTAGAACAGAGACTGCCAATAAAAATGTTACAGTGAGAGCTGTAAGGTAAAAGTCTTTTATTAATGTTTCCTGCAATGTGGATAGACATAGAACAGAAGGAGTTAAAAATGGGTACATACTTTACATGTACATATTTAGGTGTAGAAAAAAGCATGCTCAATTACATAGTATCAGGAATAGAACAAGGAAAGATTTTATAAGGTTTACAACCTAAAAGAACAGTTTTATGCCTTATTTTCATGGTGGTATTTCCTGGTTGATGAGTATGCAGATATGTCATTTTAATATGCTTTGACAAAGTTGGTTATATAGCGTTTATGTAAGAGACTGGTTTCTTCTGTGATTTATTTTTTAAGTCTAAATGGTGACTACATGCATGTGTATTAAAAGAATAAACTTTCTACCTTTAAACCCTTGATCTTTCATAGTTCTGAAGTTGTGGCGCTGTCTTTGGCTCATCAGATTTGGAGCCTTTTTAGAAACTGTGGGAATATTTCTAAATTTGATTGTTAAATCTAGTGAACAGAAGAGCTGCCATTGGAGAAAATAAACTTCCTTTTAAAATACTAGTAAGTATGCAAAAGTGCTCCGAGGCTTAGGAGGCAAAGTCTATTTACAGTTAGAAGACTTGGGCTCTTAAGTGCTTACAGCACTTTTGAAAATGAGACTTAAATGCTTCTAAGTAATTTGGGCACTACAAAATTCATATCTAATTTCCCTGATTTTGCTCTGACATCAACACCAATCACAAAATGATTTGTTATCTAGATGACAGCAGAACTGGTCGTATGTGGAACAAATCCAAAAGAAAGAAATATGATTCAGAAGTGAATTAAATAATTTAATGGTGTTTAAATATGTGAGGCAGTACACATCCTTGGCTTCAATGGAATTAAATGCATTGGTTCTGTAGTAATTATTTCCAAGCTAGATGTTGCTGTCAGCTAAATACTCATACCCTGGAAACCAGTGGAGCTGTATCTGATGTACATGGTGCAGTAGAACCCAGAGTCCATGTGGACTGGCCTGCACACTCTTGGAAATCATAAATTATTCCTCTGTAGCCACTGGAAGGAGACTAATGTAACAAAACCCAAACGCTCTCATGGTTCAAACAGTGCCCCAGAATACCAAAATCTTGTCTGAAATTGGATGATTCTTAAAAATATTTGGCAAGAGAGGTCAACAACAGACTTCCATCAGCACTTCAATGGATCAGACATATGCTAATCCCATCCTGTCAGGAGCAACATGTCAAGCTCTCTTAAGAGTGCACTGTTGTCAG